AGAGCTCATCTCAATCTCCCCTCATGAAATCTTGGTTTTTTAATCTTGATACACACAAGGTCCCTTAAATCAAAAGGTAATTATTTATCTTAAAAAATTATACATCAGCTATTAAAAAAAATCCCCCTCCTTCCCCCATACATCCTGTGCTTTTGAACAGACACCCCAACTGCCAAAATCAGTGCTTCTGAGAGCAGCAGCGAAGTATATTGTTATAAAAGCAGCTGCACCAGGAAAGCAATGGCTAATGCAAAATGTGAAAGGTTAATTGTTACTAACCCCAGCTACAAACAGCAGTTATGGGTCTAACTGGCACCAAACTGGTAGTATATCTCCTTCATTTCTGCCCGCACAAGAATCCCACTGTTATCAGCGTTTTCATATGTAAATCACTGTGTTCCCTGCAGACATATAGGATGCGTGTGGCTGAGCGGGAAGGCACAAGCCTCTAGGAAAGATATTCTTCCCCGGGAGGGTGCTGAGGCGCTGGCACAGGGTGCCCAGAGAAGCTGTGGCTGCCCCATCCCTGGCAGTGTTCAAGGCCAGGTTGGACACAGGGGCTTGGAGCAACCTGCTCTAGTGGAAGGTGTCCCTGCCTGGGGCAGGGGGTTGGAGCTGGAGGAGCTTTAAGGTCCCTTCCAACCCAAACCATTCTATTCCTTTCTATGGTATGCTATCCTAGTCTATGCTATTCTATTTCGTGCTATTCTATTTGATGTCATCCTATCCTATTTTATCCCTCCTGTTCTATTTATGCTATGCTGTTCCCTACATATGCATTTCACTTGGAGAGCAGCATCCCCTCTCACCAACCAGGACAGAGAGGTATCGTTTCTTAACTCTGACATTAAATCCAGCTCCTCAGGAGGTGTTTGCATGTGTGGAGGGAAGGGGCATGGAAGGACATAGCGTGATCCTGCGTGACACATTCTGGTGCATTAAGTGGGTTATATGCTCGTGCATCAGCCTGCAAGGGACGCGTGTGCGAGCGCACGTGTGTCCGGAGGGAAGCTGAAGCCTTCCTGGTATGCGCTGGCTTCCCGGGATCACGAGTTCAGCTGCACCTGTGCTGCTTGCTCCAGTCGACAAGCCTGAATCCTGGCACTGCCACAGCACCCGGCTGTGGTTCCAATGGCATGATCCGTGTGGACCGTGCCAGCAAAGGGACAGCTCAGCGCCGTGGCGGGAGGCAGGAGCAGAGCAAACAGTGCTGCCAGCTGCTGGGAATAACCTCTGCAATTCCCTGCTGCTGACAACGGCACCAAACAGGGTTTAACTGCAAGTGCAGTCAAGGACAAACCACGGTCACAGCACCCATTCAGAGGTCTCTGGCTGAACCTCCTTGGCTTGTGGTTAAATCCTGTCCAGCTCCAGCTGCTCTGCACAGCAATGGGCAAATTTGCTAGCACAAAGTGCTGTGCTGGACCTTGCTTTGCTACTGACCTTCACAGATCACAGCAAGTTCCTGCTAAAAACCAAGCTTAAGATACAGATCTGCACGGAGAGGCTCTGATTTATTAACAACCCTCTTCCTGATGGACTGAGCCTGCACAGCTGGTAATGTGGTCATGCAGATCAACTTTCCATACTAGCACACATCACCCAAACAGTCACACACCCTGCCCTCGGCAGCGGAAGCTCCTCTCCTGCCTCCATCCATCTCCCTTCCACCCCAAGCAGCTCCTCGCCCTGGACCCTTCCCCGCAGCACACCTCCTGCTCCCAACCCACTGGCAAAGCTGTCACTGTTCTCCCCTTCCCTAGTTAGCATGGACTTATCCTGACTGCCCCTTCTTATTCCTCTTCCACGCTTCATTATGTCCAAAGCAGTGCTCGATGCTACTCCGTAAGCAACACAAGTGCTTGTGACGGTTGGATGACCCGAGGTGCGAGAATGTGTCATAGTTTCAACTAAAAATTACAGCTAAATCATGACGACTTTCAAGGACATGAACATGTTGCTCAACACAAGTGTATCCGTAGCAAAAGGGGGGAGCTTTGTTCCACCTCACATTCACTTCATTGTAAGTTGATATTAGAAAGCAAGATTACGAGATCCATCAACACGAACCTTGCGTTTCGAACTGACTTACCAACAGTTGTTCATGTCTACCCCTTGAAAGCCTCAGACTAATTCCCTTGCAGTCTTAAACAGGTTTGAGGCCATGACCATGCATCTGCTGAATGCTGCTGAAGTTTGAGCATCACAGCCTTTTAACATCGCTTCCCAAACACAGTGACACCTACAAGGTGCCAACTAAGTCATCACACCTTGGCAGGGAAGCCCTTAGGAACAACTAGTACTGAGCTGACCCATGGAGCGAAGTTTTAACAGTAGTTTTCTCCCTATCCTTATCTTCCTCCCTCTTGCTATCAAGTGGGCAGTGCAGATAAGCTCTATTTGCTGATGTGGCAGTGCCAGGCAAAGAAGCCCAACACAACCACATCCTCCACCTCCACCAAACATATGGGAAACCACATACAAACCCTCCTCCAAGCTGCAGAAATTCCCACCCTTGATGTTTTCAGGACAGTTCTATAACAGCAAAAACATGGACATAAAGGAAATCATAACCTGGGGGGGATGTAGAGGGGGAGTCAAATGATCCCTGACTTCAGGGCTGTGGGAGGGGAAGGCAAGTGATGGGCACTGGGAGCTTTAGGAGCAAATATCTCTTCCCTGTAGCAATCCCAGTTTATCCATACAAGGGACATTTTTGGAGTGAAACCCGTTTTATCAACAGATACCTCGAGGCATCGGGGCTATCTCAGATGGCAGCTCCCATCCTCCAAGCCCCAACCACCACATCCCTATTGCGGGGCTGAGCCTCGGGGCTCACCTCCAGCCCGGTCCCTCCGGCCCCGGCGCACACTGATACTGCTGGGAACGAAAGGGTCACGTTGTTGACCCACCTGCTCCTGTTTTCTTCAGTTGGATCTAGTTGAATTTCAGCAGCTGCAGCGCGGCACAAAGCGCCCCATTGTTATCCCCGCGCAGGCGGGAGGGAGCCACGGCCTCTTTTTGGGCAGAAAAGAAGAAAACTGAAATCAAACCAACTGCCAACGGCGGCTGCGCTCGCCCCACGCGCGCTTCCAGTGCCTGTTCCATGCTCCAAGCTTCGTGTGGTAAAACCCATAGTTTGGTGTTTTCCAGACGTCTCTGATGGGGCATTTTTTTTTAGAGGGGGGAGGATGTGATATGGGGTGGGAAAAGCAGGGAAGGGGAAGAAGCAAAAACAAAACCAAAAGAAGCTTTCCCATGTTCCTTATAGGGTTTTCAGGGAAAAAAACCCTGCGTTTGGGATGAACCATCTCCAAAGCTGCCCCATTACAGCTCCCTATAGCACTGTCTCTAATGGAATAGAGATTCTACAGCTTTATATCCTTCAGGTTTCCAGTTTTCATCTTTCTTATTTACCATCAAACAGCTAATGAAAACCCAGCTGAGTTATCACAGCTTGTCCATGGCTGAAGAGGAAAGCCCTTCGCACCCAGCCCAACTCCATCAGCTTTCCTGCATCCCAAACCCTGTTTTCTGTCTACATGGACAGTCAGGAAGCAAGCAACGAGGCAGAGAAGGGCTGAAACCCTTCAGAACTAAACAGTAAACAGTCAGCTCCAAAGGTAATGAAGTTTCTTATTTTCATAGAGTCATGGAATCACCCAGATTGGGAAAGACCTTTTAAGATCATCAAGTCCAACTGTTTTCAATTACTCTATTTTTCTGAGGAAAAAAAATCATGTGGTGAAAATCCAAACCCAAACCCAACCGTGGCAGAAATAGCTCAGATAGTTTAATTCCCCTTCCTAAGACATGGGATAAGGGGAAACGGCAGCGTCTCTCTCTGTCCATCCACACATTAACTTCACAGGGAGCACGTCTGCATGGCCCAGACAGATGCTTCCCAACATCCATGCGTTTTACAGCCCTGTTTGCAGCAGCGCACGGGGCCGGGAGCAGCCGCTGCAGCTGTCTCCCTAGGAATATTGTGTGTCAGACATCCCGGCAGCCAGAGCAAGGCAGATATCCAACACGGAGCGACTCACCCTGGGATGAGATTAACTGCTCCCGAGCCTCTCCTCCCCTCCCTACCTCCCTGAAATCTGGTCTGAGCTCATTCCAGCGCCAGCGTTAAACCACCTGTTGAAAACAGCACGGGTCATGCTGGTGGTTGCGGGTCTTTCTGACCGAGGTCTCCAAATACTCTTTGCAACCACCACGTGTGGTTCAACCGATACAAACGGAGCAATATGCGGCAGTGAGTAAACAGTAAGTAAGTGGGTGTTGACCTGCTGGTGTGTTCCCACAGGCGCTGGGATGCTCTTTGCTTCTGCACCCACCGCGCATCCCGATCTCCTTCCCCATCGGGGTCTCCTCCTTCACGCTGCCACTCATCTCCCACTTGCAGAAATGAATGCATATCGAATTAGATCTGCTCAAACTCTACTGATAGATCAATAATTCCTTGCATAAGTACAGACTGCCTTAAAGGAGAAC